AAATTCAAATGGCAATTTTCCTTTTATCTGACAATTCTTATTAAGAAGATATACATCAACCTGAAACACATAAACCTTAAATGTAAAGGACATGATTAAAAGTTCATATTGCAAGACTAGGACCCAAGTGGCTTTGCCCAAGAGTCACAGTGGTCCTAGTACAGATTTTCTGTCTCCTAAGATGTCTGAAGTCCAAATTCTGCCCAACTCCCTCAAATCTCATCTAATCAATCTCTGAATCCTGTTGGTATAATCTCCTAGAGATTTCTGGAACTCATCTTCGCATCCCATAGTTTAGGCCTCACTAGGTCTCACCTGGACTACAAATTATTATCTGCTCTGTCAAATTATTCAAAAAATATGTGTTTAGCAGCTACCAGAGGCCAGTCATTTGATTAGGATTAGTCACAGTGCAATAGACAAAATGGACATGATCTCCATTCACCTATGGATGATAACATTGGGGGGCAAGCATCATAAGAATCACCTTACAAACTGGCATCTTCACAATTCAGGAAAGAGTCAATGGAGTAAAATTAAGATGACAATGATAAGAGACTTTGTACTTCAGGGTCAAGAAAGATTTTCTAAGAAAGCATGAATAAAGCTGAGATACAAATGAGGAGGAATCAGTGGTGAGTAGAGAAAACATTCTGGGCAGGAGAAACATCACTGTCAAAAGTATGGATCAGCAAACATTTTATTTACAGGTGCAGATAGTACATTTATTTCCCCAGGCCATAGAGTCTCTGTCTTAACTGCTAAGCTCTGTCACTATAAAGCAAAAGCAGCCACAAACAATATAGGAAGGAATGAGGGTGGTTGTGTTCCAATAAAACTTTATAGCCACTAAAAATTTAACTTCATATAATTTGCATGAGTCGCAAAATATTCTTCTTTTGATTCTTTCTCAACCATTTGAAAATGTAAAACCATTCTCAGCGCCAAGCCATCCAGTAACTGTAGGATGAATGAGGGAGGGGTATAGTTTGCCATTTTCTAGTAAACACTGTGAGGTAGCAAAGAGCTGACTGTGTTTGAGGAACTCTCACTGGATTGCTGTGGATGGATCAGAGTGACCGAGGAGGTGAGGGACACCCAGTGTGGTGAGGGGGGAGGTTAACATGATCTCACATACCACCATCTGGTCTAAGTTACCAACTTTGGTATTTATCCTAAGAGCAGTGCAAAGCATCAATTTGCTATCATCAGCAGAGTGAGAAAATTCAAGTTCTTACACATTTTCTCACCCCTATTCCAATTTCCACACCCCTGCCAAAGTTACCTAAGACATTCTCTCCCATATCTAACCCCCCACCCCGTCAGGGGTCGATGGTTTTCAACCAATATCCATCACCAAATAAACCCTGAACAACTGAACCCAGGCTACCTACCTGACCTTACTGAGATTACTGCACCCACCAAAATCCCCCAGCTCTTCCCTGGGACTGACTTCCCATACTGTAAGTGGACATGGGCTCTCTCTGGACTATCCTTCCTGTCTTCCCTACTAGGAAAAACTTCCACTCATATTCTGAGGCTCATGTCAAACTATTTGTGTTGAGAAAGCAAATGATTTTCTCCCAAAGCACTTTACACATCCCTGTATCACCATGCTTAGTCTATCTTTTGGTGGGTGTTCCCCTCCACTCCATTATTCATGCCCCTGGCACTGCACACAGTGGACTCTGGACCTCTAGGATAAGGCTGAGTCCTTTTTGTCCCCATGGTCCTATTGTCTAGCACATTTGCTAGTTCATAGAAGGAATTCAGGATTTGGAAATTCTGATTAGGAAATTAAGACTTGAATAAAGAATAAATAAATAACAGCTCAATTAACTTAGAATGCAGAATCTCATGTTCTTATCTTGAATTTGTACTTGAGCTGCTCCACTATAGCTACCTAACTTTTCTGGCTCCCATCCCTGCATCAAAAAGAAGGTACCCCTTCCTGATTCTGCACAAGTGGATGCTTTTCTCCTGGGTACAAGGGCATAACCTTTAGAACTAGAAGTTGTTTTAAAAGTCCTCAGGCCAGCAACATCAGCATCACTTGGCAATTTGATAGATATGAAAATTCTCAAATGCTCAGTTCCTGCCCTAGGGCCACTGAATCAGAATGTGCAGTTTAACAAGATCTCCAGGTGACTCATTTACACATAAGTTTGGGAAGCACATCCTATAAGCCATCCTGACAGGTTTTGAGAAGTTACTAAAACTGATTTTTAAAATATCTTTAATTATGAATGTGCAATCATGCTAACACCGAAGGGATTCTCTGCAGGAATTACTGTGCGTGCTTACCAAAAGCAAAAAAAAAAAAAAAAATATATATATATATATATATATATATATATAATGGATTTGAGGCTTACCTTCAAGTAGGCGAATAAGTAGAAAGGCAATATTTAGAGCCTTTCTCAAAATTCTGAAAGGGAATTGATTTCTTAAAATAAATTAATTAATAAAAGATGCTCATAGGTGTTCACAAATATTGCCCCCTAATCTAGAAATTAATTATTTTCTATCGGCTTTAGTGTAGATGGATCTCAAATGCAAAGCGGCAAGCATCCTGGTTCTTACAGATCCTGAAACTAATGGCTGGAGCTGCCAAGAACACAACAGGGGTTCAGTATGACTCTGATATGAATCCATGACCATCTGCCCAATCCCCCCCAATTAATTCAGTACAGCTCTTCTTCTTTTCTTGCCAAAAAGGGGCAATGCATCCAACCCATTTCTCTTCTTGCAGTAAGAGAAAAATTATATCGTTGTTGTTACATATCTTTACATACACACAATATAACAATATAATTTGGCCAATATCAAACAACTTGGTCCTATCCCAAGTGTCATGCTTCACAGAGGGATTTCAGTAATGCATGACATGATGGAATGAGCTAGGAATGGAGCCCTGGAGACATGGACTTAAATTCCGGATCTACCAGGTATCTGGGAAACCACATATCCTCAGTCTCAGTCTCAGTTCCCCATGCTGCCTACTAGGCAAAGGTTCTTAGCATTAAACCAGCAGGTCCTATAAAACACATGGGACAGAGCAGTTCTGTATGCCAACTTGTGTTTCCGCATACATTTGGATCAGATTTTTAAACTGATCTAATTCAACTTTCTCATTTTATAGATGGAAAAAGGGAGGCCTGGGCTAAGAAGTGCTTGCCCATGGCACACAATGCAGACAATAGAGTCAGAATTGGATTCCTGAAACCCTTGACCCCCAAGAAATCTTTTTCAAACTCTTAGCAGTCACAGCCTTTCTGCAGATTAAAACTTATAATAGAGATAACAAGCCAAGCCTGCTTTGATTAATAAATCTCTTCTTCCTTCCCCCTCTTCTTCCCCAGTGACAACCCAGGGGCACCTTTGCAAGCACCCTTAAGTTCCCCACCTCCACACACAATCTGAATAACTGATGAGTCAGCCTACCTGCAACCCCAGAGCCAGCGATGAATCACCCCATGTCTTGCTCACTAGATGGATTCTCTGTTCACCAGACCACCTAGGGGTTTTCAAGTCCCCAAGGTTCCAAAGGACTTGAACTTTTGCACACATCCATCTCTAATGGGAACCATTAAGCTGACATCACCACTCTCCACACTTCATAAAGGAGTCCTCACATCTGGAAATGGGAACACCTGCAAGCACTTTGACCAGGATCACCAGATCACTCACGGATGTGAAAACCCAAGGGCAGATGAGGTGAGAAAGAGATATCCTCAAATGTCAACAAGGCCAAAGATGAATAATTTGGGGCTAAAAGTGTATTTAAAAAGGGGGGGGGGTATGGCCAGATTATCTGGACTTATATCTGCCACTTTCTAATGGGAATAGTAATTAACCTCTCTGAACTTCGACAGAGTACTGGGTTTTAAAAAAATTTGATTTTGGAGTCAGTCAATCTTAGGTTCCATCTTAGCTCTGCCATATACTTATTGTGTCACTTTGGTTGAAGTGGTTTATCTATTATGAGCTTTGGTTTCCTTGTCTACAAAACAGAGCCCCTATCATAAATAAATAAATTAAACCTACTTCACTGGGTGGTTGTTAGAATTTGAAGAGGTAACGTGCAAAATACCTATCATAGTGCCTGACATGAACTAAGCACACAGAAACAGACTGACTTAAAATTATATTTCATTTCATACCAGTCAGAATGGCAGTCATATAATAAATACAAGTAATAATAAATGCTGAACAGGATGTGGGGGAAAGGGAACACTTTTACACTGTTGGTGAGATTGCAAATTAGTACAAACAGTATGGAAATCAATATGGATGTTCTTCAAAAGAATAGGAATGGAATCACCACACGACCCAGCCATACCACTCCTTGGAATTTATACTGAAGAATTAAGGTCATCATACTACATTGATACATACATATCCATGTTTACAGCAGCACAAGTCACAACAGCCAACCTGGAACAAGCCTATGTATCCATCAAAGGCTGAATGTATATGGAAAATGTGGTACATACACCCAAAAGAAAAAAAGAAATTATATCGTTTGCAGGGAAATGAACAGAACTAGAGACCATTATGTTAAGCTAAATAAGTCAAACTCCGAAGGTCAAGGATCATATGTTTTCTTGAATATGTGGAAGCTAGAGAAGAAAAAGAAAATAAAGGAGGGGTGGTGTCTCATGAAGATCAAAGGGAGATCAGTAAAGTAAAGGACCAAGGACTGGAAGGTGAAGAGTGAGGAGAAAGTGCTGGGGAGTGATATTGGCCAAATTATATTGTTATATTGTGTGTATGTAAAGATATGTAACAACAAATCCCACCAATATTTACCACTATAATATACCAATTAAAAATGAAAAAAAAAAAGAGTGACTTAACTTTAACTTAATCAATACAAAAGGATCAACCTTCCTCAGAGGGTTGCTAAGAAAAATCCAACACTGAAGACTTTATAGCAAGGTGTCTGGTAATACACACCCATGATTAATGGAACTCTCCCCTCATCCCTATGCACTCACCTCTTTCAGCCAGAGAAGCTTTGGGGCCTGCATTTCCACAGACATCACGCCCCCAACATACTGGAGGACACTGTGCTTCGTCTCATTGATCCTATGCACCTGACTGACTGCTCGGTGGTCCAGCCACATGATGACATTTCGATGGGAATCCCCTAACAGAAGTGAGAGAGAGACAGAGACAGAGACAAAGGCAGAGAGCAGTGAATATAGATGTGCATTGTTTCCCTTCCTTAAAGGGGCAATTATGGATTCTGGGGCGATGTCCTGCACAACTTCTGCAATCTAGTAGGTCAAGAATGAAAGTGGAAGGACATTTGCAAGGCTTAGGATGCCCAGTCCCACAACCCATATGCCCCTTCAGTCACCTGCTCCCTGACCACAACTCCAGGGCCAACCCTCCACACTAAAACCAGATGAAAGCTACCAATTAATTATCTTATCGTTCATTCCCTCAACTTTTTCCCTTCCTTTCTCATCCCTGTTCTAGAACAGCACTTCTGAATGCACACTGAGAAGAACCTATGAAACAAGACTGACATATTCCATCTTCAAATTTGCCTCCTTTAAATATGGGGAATTATTTTGATGGTGTAATCCATCTCCCAGCTGAAACATGGAATTTATCTGCTTCTACTTTCACTTTTTTACAGTCAGTTTATTAAAACTGGCTCTTTTGGGTGTATTTTTTTTCTCCCATTCAAATGGTCAGTTTGGTAGAGGGGGAAGGACAGGAGTTTGGGATCAGGCTGACCTAATAGTGAATGCAAGAAGGTTATTAACCTTCTCTTGGCCTCAGTGCCCTTATCTGTACAATGAGAATAACAATGCTGAATAGCATATAAGGAATAACTAAGAGCCTCCATTCATTCAATAAATGATAATGCACATGAGAGACATTGCAGGTCCCTGTCCCTTGGTAGACCTGCAGGAGTTAATCATAAGGAACAGAAATCAAACCCACTGGAAAAGAGGATCAGCCCTCACATCCAGTCTCCCCGTGCTGTCTCCATAGAATTGACAGTCCCTTCCTCTCTTCCCCAGCCTTTAAATTCACCATGTTCTGATGAGCAAGCTGTGTTCCTTCCACAGCCACAAATCCTACAGGGAACGGCAACACCGTACCTGAGAGGTGATTAGGGGAAAGACAACGGGGCCATCAGCTACTGAGCCAGGGGCCATCACACATTATTTTACTTGGTGGCAAAAGAACTTCAGCAACCACATATATGGCTAATAGCAAATGTTTATCATCTGTGTTTGCTGTCTCTCAAGCCCTGTGTTAAACATTCTGCACACCTCTACTCACCAAGTCCTTAAAGCGACCCCTCCACTATGAGTACTATTATTCCTGTTTTTCAACAACAAACTGAGATGCAGGAGTTGAACATGTGCCCAGTGACATGCATCTGGGAAATACACATGTGCCCTGCACCCAGATCTGTGCAGAGTTCTGGTAAAATGAATAAACTGGAGTTAAACATAATCCACATGGCATGATACAGGTGAGCCAATTTAAAACAGCACAGATTACTACTGGTGTGTGTGTATGTGTGTGTGGGTGTGTGTACAAAGAAAAAGCAAAAAAGCAATTTGTGAGCAGTATGGTTATAAATAGTTCTTTCTTTTAAAAAAAGACTTAATGCAAATAAGGAAAAAAATTTATTTTTATCTTAAGTCCATAAAAGGTACACAAAAGGCTGTTTATCTTTGAAAACTCTTTTTAAAACTAAAATTTTAAAAAGCCAACCTAAGAAAATATCTAAATAAGAAACAAATTGCAAAGTCTTAGTCACTGATTTGCCTGATTGAAAAGACTTTGGGTCCCAAAACAGCTTCACAATACTCTGAAAATAAGATAAAGCATAGGTGTGTCAAAAATCCTTTTTGTTAACAGCAGACTGCTTCTACTTTGTAAGAGAATTGCTGGAGGCTCTGCTTCTCAGCCCTAGGCTCACATGAGAATTATCTGTACAGCTTTCAAAAAACAGTGACATTCAGGTCCTATAGGAACCATCAGGCAATCCAAATGTGGGTATGTGCCCACATATGTACACACATGTGTGGGTGGCAAAATCAGTACTGTTTCTTAAACATTGTAGAGGATGTATCCACAACTGCCTCGAAACAGAAATACATGTTCCTAAACTTCCAACAAGAGGAAAGAGAAGCCAATTAGCTTCTCAATCAGCAGCTTCTGTAGTGAGAACAACACAATGAGAACTGTACAGAATAACTTTCCTGTGTTTATTATAGTTATTTTCATTTTCGACAACAGCTGAGAAGTTAATCCTTTTTCAGTTCTCATAGAAAAAAAAAGCACAAGTAAATGATTCAACCAAAGTTTGTTTAGTCTTTTATTGAGCATTTACTACATGCCAGGTGCAATACTGGGTATGGGGATCCCAAAAATGTGCCTCAGCCTCTGCCCACAGGAGCTTGTGTTTTGAGAGGGAAGGGTCTATATAGTGCATGGACTGCCCGAACAGAAGTGCTAGGCTTCGAAACAGGTGCAGCTCAGACCAGACTAATTCTGAAGCTGCACAGAGAGATCTCAGGAGGCAGGAGAGCTTTTGTTTAATTCTAAAATGACCAGCCAGTGGGAATCAGGTGAAAGGGACATGAGGAAAGAGGCACAAGACAAGAGAAGACAGCATGTGAAACTGCACAGGCCAGACACATCGTATTTTAGGAGAATCTGAGGCAGAATTGGTAGAGCAGCATTTGAGCTGCACAGCTTACCCAAGGGCAAATTACTCATCTGTGTATTCGCTTAATTAAAACTTTGAACAACTCACAGGTTATGCTCCTGTCACACTCGAGGACATAAAAGTTATTATGAACCAGCAAAAACATCCAAATATGAAATTTCTGTTGCACAGAGATGTATGGGCACTTGCTCCTTCCCCACCCCCAGTTATCACCCTGGGATCCCCTGCTCCAAAGGGCTCCCTACTGTGGTGATACAACCAAAGTTAGGCTCTGAGCCTAAAGGTTGCAGGGCAGGAAGCAGCAGCAACTGCAGTGGATCCAACCCAGGGGCTGTTCTGACCTTCAAAACAAGAAGGACCAAGGAGAAACTAACAATAAGACTATTTCATCACACAGTCATGCATAGTGTTCTCAACTATGCTGCTTAATTTATTTTGTTTTTAATTTTTTGGTTAACATCTGAAGATGGCAGCATTTTACCAATCTTGTGGATTTGGTGTTCACAGTGATTGGGGTTATCTGTCATCTCCATGACCCCATTCCCTTTTCTTCAACCAACCCAGAGTGGATCCTTGCCTAGTAGACAGAAGCAGTCTTTAAAGAATCTTTAAACCACCTTATTAATATTCTAATTTCATTTTTGAGCATAGGATAATCACCTCAGATAGGATCCAACTTAATAGAATCTGTTAAAAGGCAAGAAACTGGTGTGGACACCTGCAGCTGGATACAGCTGATGAATGGGTACATTTCAACCTTTCAGGTGGAATAAAGTTATTTCAACACTTATAATTAGGGATTCAACTTAGTTCCCTCTTTAATAGAGGACCTGCTAACAGGTGACAGACAATTCCACCCTGGAAGATGGCACCCAGCGGTGTGTTCGACTGTGTTAATAAGGAACTCTCTTCTCCTACTTCAGATGTATGTTCCTGTTGTTTTAACTGTCCACTCACCTGGGCCTGGTGATTCTCCGAACACCACAATTCCCAAGGAACCTTCTTAAAAAAACAAAATGGTGATGCCCTACCCCCACCTAAGGACAACTGAACACAAACCTTGGAGGTAAGTCTAATGAATGTCAATTATAAAAATGATCTCCTGTTTGAAACTGACTAATGCACAGTCAGTTTAAAAGCAAAAAAAGAAAAACAACATATTTTAGTCAATCAGACAATACAGACTCCAACATTTAAAGTCCTACCCAAGATGAGACTTCCTCCTAGGGTATCCTTAACTGACAATCATTGACTTTCACTGGGCCAATATAGGAAGTGCCAGCAGCTTCCCCAAGAGTCTAGTCAGTAGAGTGTCTGCTCTGCTGGGCTGGGGTCTGCTGGTTTACCTCGGGTCTCTGTTCTCTGGAGTGGCCCCAACTGCAGCTGCCCACCCCCCTGGCCAGAAGAAAGCCAACTTGAATGGCCACTGAAGGCAAGAATCATTTGGATTCATGTTTGAATCAGCACTCAATAAAATAGGACTTAGCATAGCACATAGTAGGTGCTAGTAAACATATCAGGAAAAAGGCGGGGTTGGCAGGGTATGCAAATAAAAGAACTTACAACCCTGCTCTAGGCACTCATCCATTTACAGACGTTTTGAGCACAGGCCATTTATAATTATCACTGCTCCACACAAGTGAGTGGAACACATTCCCTAGACCTGAGCTTTCAGGGGTCGGGCCGTAGCTTCTCTCAGTAAAGCTACTGTTTCATTATTCCAGTTCTCTCACAGGAAAAACCAGATATTCAAAGGTAAAGTGATTCACCCAAGGAATCAGCCAAAGAGCGAAGCCCTAGTCACTGTGTGATTCCAATTCAGTGTGTCCCAGTATGCCCTACTATCCCATAGCCACCAGTATGAAAGGTGCTATGACAGTGCCCACAACTATCACCTACAGAATCTCATCTAAATAATGGCTATGTTGGCAACCACAGATGGGCAATGCCTAGATGGAACACACGAGGTCCAGAACAGCACACTCTCCACCATTCCTTAATGTCTTCCTCTTACTGAATCATTATTAAATATCAATAGGCGTTTATCACACACCTGCTGCTCTTCTCAAACTTGACCCACTTTATTCTGACTAGTGTAGACTCTTGGGTGCTAGTACTACTGGCTAAAATTCCCTGGGAAAAATCTCTGATGTTGGCCCCAAGTGGCACTTTACATTTGAAACTGCTCATTACTGGAGTCACAAGCACCAATTAGAACACACCATCATTAAATGTGAATGTTTTTGGCGTGATTAATGAAATGAGAGAGGCCATCTGTTTCCAGTTTCCATGGGATACCTGTCCTGTCTGCCCTACTCTAGTTCTTTTAACTGCATGTGGTGCACCCACTCAAATGAGAGTTCTATAGGAACTTCACAAGCACTGCCAACACCAGCACTCCCTGCCACAAAACCAAACCACGTCTGCTTCAAGGCTGCTCACCCCAGAAGGACCCCACATCCTTCATTAGCTCCCACTGTGGCTCTAGGGCTTTATGGAAACAAGTCCCTCCCTGACCCACCTCTAGTGCGATCTCAGTCATACTAAAGGCTCTGCAAGCTTATGACTTTGACGTCCACACTCCACCTTTGACACTTCACTATCAGTTGCATAAGACCTGTGGCTGATATTACACCAAACAGCCAAGGCCACCCCAGTCAGTCTCCCCCACCAGAGAGAGGGAGAGAAGTGGTCCTACCTTCATGGTTTACTGGCAAAGGACGAAACCGTTTATCCAAGACAACCAGAGAGCATGTGGCATCGAACCCAAGTCCTCGAATTTGGTTTAAATCGATCCCTTGTACAACTTTCTGTTTTAAAAGCAAACAAAAACATAAATCACATCACTGGACTTTTAAAAGCTTTAATACAAGTTATAACAAGAAGGAAATGAATGATTAAATAAAAAATCATCTACAATATAAACCAAATAGGAGTTCAATATCACTAAAATACCAAAAGATCCTATAAATTAATCAGAAAAAGATAACCAACCTATTAGAAATTAAGCAAAAGGCAAGAATATTGCTTAATAAAAAAGAAATAGAATATGTGCAAATATTTCCAACTGCCCTACAATTAGGTAAGAAAATAAAAATATAAAATTTTTTGTTTTTATATTGATAAAAGTATGAAAGATTAACAGTATATGATAATGACAAGAAACAGGAAATTGGGTCTTCTTGAACATTATTCTAACTGTAATTATTGAGTATCAATTTGGGAAAATAATTTGACAGTATATATTAAAGTTAAAAATATATATATCATTTGACCCAACAGTCCCATTTCTGGGAAACTATCTTAATAAATTATTAATAAGAATATATTTAAAAACAAGAAATTGTCTCTGGATAATAAACTATAGCACATCTCTAAGATAGAATAATGTGAAAAACTTAGAAGTGACTTTTGGGTGTGATGGCATGAAGAGAGAAGCAAATCTATGCAAAATAAAATTATAAAATTGGACAGTACATCAAAAATAACTATATTCAGGGAAATTGTTCAAAGTCACAAACAAATTGAGAAAAATTAAATTTTGGCTAAAACCATTCACAATGAGAGATGAAGACAGGAAGAAATACAAAAATAAAGAAAGAAAAAAAGAAGCAAGGTAACTTAACTCCAGACCCAGATTGGTTTTTGTTTTGTTTTGTTTTTTGGTGTGGAGGGGGAGGGATTTTATTAAACATTTAAGAAAGAAACAGTATGAAACCTATACAAAACTTGTTTAGAATGGCAAAGGAGGAAACACTTTACACCAACTTTTACATGGCTAGCATTAACCTAATTAATATCAAAGATGAATAAAGACATCATTAAAAATAAAGAATATTAGAGACTAGTATTTAACATCAACCTAGGTTTAAATTTGTTTAACAAAATATTAACAAACCAAGTTTTACAACATATTAAGTTGGCATTGTACACCATGAACATGTGAAGCTATCCCAAGGATGCATGGGTGGTTTAATAACCATAAATTCATATATACAGACATATATATACATATATATATATATATATATATATATATATATACACACATACACACACACACACACATATATATATATATAATAAGAGAATAAAGTTCAAACACCAAATGATCATCTCAAAAGATGCAGAAGATCCCTCAAAAAAATAAGGAAAATCAATAAATGAGAAATAAAAGATATCATACACAACTGATATAGAGAATCTACAAAAACTTAACATATTTAATAAAATGAATGATTTTCCTAGATTAGGAAAAAAGCAAGAATGTTCACTTTTACCATTTCTATTCAAGCTTGTACTGGAAAATCTAGCCAGCAAAATAAGACAAGAAAAATAAATTGAAGGCACACAGAGTGGGAAAAAAACAAAACATTAAAATATCTTTCTGTGTAGATGGTAGGATTCCACATGCAGAAAATTTTTTAAGAAAAAAAAATCTACCAAAAAAAACCTACTAGAAGTATTAAACAAGTAGAGTAAAACCACAAGATTTAAGATTAACATATAAAATCAATTATATTTCTACCTATTAGAAACTGATATCAAAATGAAATAAAGGAAATAATGCAATTCACATTAGTATCAAAACAAATAATCAGATATTTGTAATTTACATTTCAAAAGAAGTTCAATGTCCAGTCACCAGAAACCACAAAACACACAAAAAGTCCACATTAGAGAAATATACAATATTAACACCGATAATATGGCAGTCTCCTTAGATGCACAGAATTTACATAACTTCCACTAAAATCCGGGAGAGCTGGTTATGTTTTACTTTCTTTTATTTTGTAAAATCTGACAAGCGTCTCTTAACATTTATACAGAAATGCAAAGGACATAAAAAGTCATGATAAGTTTCATACTGTTTCTTTCTTAAATGTTTAATAAAATACCCCCCCCCCCCAAAAAAAAAAAAAAAACAACAACCTGGCTCTAAGGTTAAGTTACCTTGCTTCTTTTTTTCATTTTTGAAAAGAAAAGACAAATCTGTAAAAGTTATGCTACATGAATTCAAAACTTACTATAAACATACCATTGCTAAGGATATATTTTCTGATTAGTAGAAGAGAACAGGGAAAGGACAGGCTGCTTGACAGTAGTGATAGAACTAAATGTGTATCTGAGGAAGGAAGGAAGGAAGGAAGGAAGGAAGGAAGGAAGGAAGGAAGGAAGGAAGGAAATCTGAGACTCTTATATTACACCATACACAAGCATCACCTCAAAATGTATCATATCCCTAAATGTAAAAACCAAAGAAAATCTCTGTGATCTTGCACTACACAAATATTTCTTTAAAAGTTAAGACTTATTTTTTTTAAAAATGATAAATTTCCCCCCACCCCCCTCGCCTGCCAGGTAGGGGAAGGGTGACCACCGAC